CCCACGATCGCCAGCCTCTCCCTTCAGGGTGATGCAAGAACTCTCCAGTGGAGTGTAATTGGCCCCCTGAGCCCTGGCTCTCTCTGTTTCTTCAGTCTTGGTCTCTAGCACGCTGATACTCTAGTAATTTACTCCTCCTCTGCTTTTCTCCCACTCACTTGTTTACTCACCCAGGTACCTACTGAGTATCTCTGAAGTGCCAGGCTCTGTTCTAGTTGCTGGTAGTTCATCTGTGAGCACAGTCTGATGGTGCTCCCTTACACTACACGCAGCTGTGGTTGGCCAGAGATGTGTCTTCTAATGTGTACATACAGAGACACATAGAAATACATATACCCCTATATACATGTAATCATATTGAATTTTTAAAAACGTTCCAATACACACGTTCAGCTTTACTCAAGATATATAATTTCAGTACGTACAGATTTCCCCATTCTTTTTTAGTGGCTCCCTCTTAGGGGTGGCTATACCAGATTTTGTCAAAATCCTCTGTAGGTGGGCATTTACATTGTTGATAATTTTTGATATTATAAATAATATTATAAGGGACATCCTTGGACAGTTGTGCACTTTTGTGAATGATCCCTAGAAGTAGAGTTCCTTGATCAATACACATTAAAATTGTGATGCGTGATGCCAGATCATCCTTCAGAGCAATAGCTGGCTCTCTTTACCTCATGTGTAAATAGGGTTCCTCCTCCCCAGAAGCCTTACTGGGCCTGAACAGATCAGTCTTTTTGATCTTTGCTGACTGCCAAACAACAAACAGTTGTCTTACTTTATTTCGTATTTCTTTATCAACAGGGTTGAGCATTTTTGGTGTTATCATCATTTGTATTTCTTGCAGAATTGCTGTTAATATCCTCTTTTCTTCTTGGGTTGTTTGGATCTTTTTGATTTGTGAGACTTCTTGATATATTAGGGATGAGTAACCTTTTGTCTGTTATGCTTCAAAAATTCTTATCAGCCTCTTTGACTTTTTTATTGTAATGTGTTTTTTAGTAACATCTGTCAATTATTATTATTTTTTAAATAAATATTGTTTCTAGGTTTCATGTCATGTTTAGGAAACTCTTCTCCACCCCAAGATGATAAAGATATTCTCATGTTTTAAAATCTTTTTATGGTTTGATCCCCCTCAACCCTGGAGTAATTTTTGTGGGGGTGGGCAGCACTTGGGGTGGATCTTTTACTTTACTAAATGAATTGATTTAAGCAAGTTTGGATTTTAATTCTCTGGAATCACAGAAAGCTATTAGGAATTTAGTAATGCTTTAAAATGACATTTATTTATTTTTTATTCATGTTTTAATAGTTTATAACACTGTGAAATTTTTGGTTGTACATTTTTGTTTGTCCATCACCATATACATGTCTCGCTTCACCCCTTGTGCCCACCCCCTACCCCATTGCCCCTGGTAACCACAATACAGTTTTCTCTGTCCATGTGTTGGTTTATATT